TGTAGTTACTTATAACATGCTGATGGATGGTTAATGTAAGTTAGATCAGATTGAAGCTGCGAAGGCCTTACTGGCTGACAGGGAAAAGCAAGGTATGGAACCAAACATAATTGCAACATATTAATTGCGTGCATGGCAAGGTTAGGAGATTGTGAACAGGCTACCAGTTTAGCATAAGAGATGTCTAAGAAGAAATTGAACTTGACCACATTGGTCACTGCATAATATCAGGGATCCAATTTAAAGTTTAAGTGCTGTTGGCATCACACATGTTCTTCTCTGGTGTTGCAGATGACTTATGATTTGACGGTTGGCATAAGGATGGTTGATTGATACACTTGGAGGAGCAAAAGGATATAATGTGACAATCAGTTGGAGATTCTTACTATAAAACTTACTTGTTTAACTTAGTTTTGTTTGCTCATCCCTTTCTCATTTTCCTTTTTATTCCCATATTGAAATTGACTTCAAATAAAGAGGATGTCTAATGCTGCATGCTGCATTTTGAAATGGAAATTTATTTATTAAATTACTGTCCAATTAACCCAAATATGTGAAAATGCTAAGTTTTTAGATTGTTGCTTAGGCCACAACTCTTAGGGTACGAGGTATTTTTCTGAAATTTTAACTTGTGTGCAAATTTGCATTTCATGGTTCAGTAACTTAGTTTTTGGTTATCAACTTCTGTAGTTTCTAGCGCACAACAATTAAATGAAATAACTATTTGTGTTCTTATTTCTTCACACAGTAGCAAAAAAAAAGGGATGAAAATTTCTCGTTGTCTGAGTGAATTTGCATGTTGTATGTTTTCAACATACTTTATCTCTTCTATGCATTTATTAAAGAATTACCACAGGATTGCAAGTAGAGTAAAGATGAAATAAACATGCATGCAGCAAGAAGCCAGCAACAACCTGTTTGAAAATTTGGACAGCAATATGGTTATAAAATATGAACAATTGAGCAGTAGTTTCCACTTTCCACTACTGGTTTGGGTATTCACAGTGTTGTTTGAGTGGTATTTATACTCGCAGAGGTCATCACCCATCGCCTATAGAACATTTTTGATTTCTCAATAATCATATGAACTGGCACCTTGTACATGTACTTTTGATGACTGTTTTGATAACTCAATTATTTTTCTGGCTGTGGTTTGAACTTTGAATCCATCACCTGAATTAAAATGGTTCCACGGTCAAGAATTTAGAGCAGCATTGTTATGGCATTCAACATATTGAGAATTTGAGATGAAGTAATATGAGAGAAAAGAAGTGTTGGTTAGCTGGGAAACTTCTTGCCCATATATTAAACATCTCTATACTTAAAACATGTAGTTGGTGATGGTGATTGTGTGCTCTATACTGTCACCTCACAAATCTTCTGTGATTAGATTTATGTATTTGCACACAAGATATTTATTTAAAGTAGTGCAGGGACATGTGTATATGTTGTTTTTGGCTGATTAAATATAATATATGTGTCTATTTGTTAACATTAGAAGATACGTAATTATTGTTTGGACCTAGAGTTTGTGTTCTATTTGTTTGCGATATGTCACAATGTGAATAATTTGTGCCAGTGTCGGTGCGTGGGAGGTGGTAATCTTGTTTTTTTTCCCTGATTATGACCTCCCAGGGTTGTAATCTTGTAATTTTTTTTCCTGCTTTATCAATAGAACTTCGCACTGTCTGGTGCGAGTCGTTAAAAAAAAATTGTGCCAGTTGTTAAAAATATGGGCGCTCTTATTGATTTACCAGAAAGTATAGGTGTGAATCTCTAATACATACTATATTACAAACTCTAACAAATGCTAAATGGTGATCATCAACCCATTACCGTGATTTGTTTCAACTTCCATACTTTCGTTCACGTATGAAGACATTCGCATGATGAAAGAAACCAAAGGAACAATATCACAGCACTATGTGGACATGGAATTCTGGGTATGCTTTTAGAATCACATATACTCCTTTTATTCATGTTTTCAAAATATTATTTTATGCTAATTAGGTATCTGGCATTGTGCTTTCTGTTTGACTGCAGTAAGTAGACACAGGAAAGTTGAGGGTGTAACCATGGTCTATATTAATATATGGAAGAAAAATGCGCCATATATGAAGGGAAATAGGATCATATGTCATTAGGAAATATGTACTTGCCGTGTGATTGCAAATCATTTATACATTTCATGCTTGGTTTGACATACAGTCATGTGAACAGCCTGTGATTGTGGCAGGCCTTGAAGAGATTTTTGCACCTGCCAAGTAGTGCCAGAATCTTTATCTGTACAGTTGAGACACAAAAACACAGTAATGACAATACATCAGGCCTGAATGCTGCATATGAGGACATGAGCTAGGTGTTGAATCTTGGCTTGTGATATATCTGGAAATGCTTCATATGCAACTGCTGAGAGGATCTCTATCCCCCAAATAGAAAAGAGAAAACAAATCAGTATTCTAGATATAGCGAAGTTGAACCTTACGCAGCAGTTTCAGTTTGAACTTTCAGACCTCAGTTCAACTGTTGGTGCTACCATCCTAAACTTCAGTCCAGAATAACACTCATGGAGCTGAGACAGTGGACGTCTGGAAGTCCACTAGTCCAGCATCCAGCATATATGGGACATCATTGGTGACTGGTTGCTGTTTATTTCTCATAGCTGCAAAAGTATGGTATGGACATATGCTGAACATTACCATCAAAATTTGGGAGCTTAATAACGTTTTCTAACTTGCTTTGTTGGAACTGAAGCAGATGCCATCTTAGGATAAACTGCTTTAGTTTGGTACTATCATTGGTGGAGATAGTATACAGATTTAATATGATTTAATCATGCATTTTGCCCAGACCTCGTGAGCTGTGATAGCATTTATCTCAGGATTTTCAAATTCGTAATGCTAAGGCAAGATAGTGATTCAAGTTCCAGTTCCCAAGATGAGGTAATCCAGGTTAGATGCTATTCCTAAATTTCTCATCATCCATCTGCTTAACTATTGTTCATTACATTTTCTGTGTATATGACTCACCTTTTTCTGTTATACAAATATTAAACACAGTTTCTCGTTCAGAATAAAAATAAGTTGATTGTTGTTCACTGGTTATTGTCCTTGAAGAAAAGGCAAACAAAAGTTCAGTTGGTCTCCAGTAGCTTCTTTGAACCCCAGATAGTCAGATTTTGACAATCCTGGCTGAAATAGATGATCTGTATCTACGAACAGTTAAATAGGGTGATAAAAAAACTCTCAACATAGTACTTTCTAGCTTAGCCGTTATTTGCGGGTGCTGCACGTGTGATCTTGCTGGGCATGTGATCTGCTCATAGCAGATACTCAGGCTGGCAAAGAGCCAAATCTGAAAAACCCTGTAGCATAGCATCAATTTGCTAGTCCTAACTACTGTTTGTTTAAGTTTTTAGGTGAGTCTTAATATCAACTTGTGCTATTTTAAAGTATCAATCAATAACCTTACAAGTGTTTAATGTAAAACTTCTTACTCACATGAAGGAGTTGATAATATTTGTATGTAGAAACTTAATTTGCATATATAATAGTAATAACAAAAAAAAAGAAGAAGAAACATTTTCATGGCTCATAATCCCTTGGGGCTCTAGAAGCCTAGACAGCTATTCACATGTTTTCATCTGAGTAGAGTTTACTTGAGAAAATTTTATTGAACACCCAAAATTTCTAAACTAACTGAGTGCTCCCTTAAATCTATCTAGAGTCAAATGGGGGAGGAGCCTGTGGCCATGTGCTGGAGCATCTGATCCGCATCTCAAGTATCGCTAAACAAAGTGTTCTTTTTTGGAACCACTAAACAAGTGTGTTCTTGGTTCTTGCACACTGATTCGGGACCTTAGATTAACAGCTTCCTGGCGTGAATTCCGTGTACTTATTTGTTATAATTTTGACCCATCCTGATTAATTGTTTAGCTAAGTTTTTTTTACCCTTTTGAGGATGGGTAACAAATTGCTGTCACAGAATCTTGTTTAGCATTATAGACAGATAAAAATAGCAACTAGTTATCACTCTTATCAGCTGGGTACTGCTGTCACTGATCACTGGTGACTGCATCTAACTCTACTAGTTTACTGTAAGCAAATAGTGGATCTTTCTTTTATAACAAAGATATTATTATATCAAACAGGTGTTTCCAGGATGTTGCTTTAGTTCATCTACTTCATCAAAGAGTGCGTGCTCGAACCTTCTATGAAAATGCTTCAAAAGTTCAGCATCTTTCAGGTATTTTCTGTACCATAACTATATCCAGTTTTATCTACTTCTATGTAGTATAGTGTTATTATCTTTTTCCATAGTTGCAATCCAAGGTCTCTACTAGTATAGTTTCATTAATAGGACTAGTTATGCAGAATTCTTTATTTCCAAGTTGATTAATGATTAATTACATCGCAGACATGCCATTTTATTACCGGCAGCCGACATTACCATCTTGTAACAATTTGACCGGTGACCTCGTGGCAAGCAAACTTAACTACCACATGAGAGACACCGGCTTCAAATTGAAGCGAGCTGCAAGTCAAAGTGAACTTGGAATTGGAGCCTATGGCCAAAGTAAGAGTTCCCAACTTTTTCTTTCTATTAACCAGAATTAATTAATTAGCCATTAATCTCTCCTAGATTAATGTTAAAGTCAAGGCCTTGTCGCAGTTTGTTCAGATGCAGGCAGGCCCTCAACTGGCCCATTTGCCATGTTACCAACTTCACTCTCAACTATTATTTCCCGCCAAATTTCATCATTTATACAAATATTTCCGAAATGCTCCTGTGATACTGACAAGTGGGCCAGGATCAACTCAATATCCGAATTTAACAAAACCCAACATGCATTATTAACATAAAACAAACAATTAACCCTGACGAAATTTTCTGTTAGAAAAAACAAGATTCGTTCGTACACGTAGCACTTGATCGTCACTTTCGTCAGCACGTTTTCCGATGCAGTAGCACATCCCGACGACGTACGGCTATATATACAGCTTCAGCTTCCTCGCACCCTTCCACTCCCAATCAAATTCAGAGTTTAGCAAAGCCTAGTGCTGCAATTAGCAGGTAGGTTTGCACTTTGCAGTAATCTCTAGCTAATTAGTACTAGTAATTTATCTTACATTGACTGTAAATATAATGATGCTTTGGCTTCTTCTTCTTGCATGGTTTATGTCACTAGTATTGATGAAATGATCGTTGCATCGTTTTTCAGATGGAGTTGCTACGCTTGCTAGCTGTTGCCGCCGTGGCCGCGATGGCCGCGGAGGTCGCCGCCGGCGGCGACTCCGGCTGGAGCAGCGGCAGCGCGACGTTCTACGGCGGCAGCGACGCGTCGGGGACGATGGGTGGCGCGTGCGGGTACGGCAACCTGTACAGCGCCGGGTACGGGACGAGCACGGCGGCGCTGAGCACGGCGCTGTTCAACAACGGGCAGAGCTGCGGCGCGTGCTTCGAGGTCCGGTGCGGCGGCGGCGGCAGCTGCCTCGCCGGCACCGTGGCGGTGACGGCCACCAACCTCTGCCCGCCCAACTACGCGCTCGCCGGCGACGCCGGCGGGTGGTGCAACCCGCCGCGGCCGCACTTCGACATGGCGGAGCCGGCGTTCACCAGGATCGCGCAGGCCCGCGCCGGCGTGGTGCCGGTGCAGTACCGGCGCGTGGCGTGCGCGAAGCAGGGCGGCATCCGGTTCACCATCACCGGCCACTCCTACTTCAACCTGGTGCTCGTCACCAACGTCGGCGGCGCCGGCGACGTGACGGCGGTGTCGGTGAAGGGGTCGCGGTCGGGGTGGCAGGCCATGAGCCACAACTGGGGCGCCAACTGGCAGAACGGCGCCAACCTCGACGGCCAGCCGCTCTCCTTCAGGGTCACCGCCAGCGACGGCCGCACCGTCACCTCCGACAACGTCGCCCCCTCCGGCTGGTCCTTCGGCCAGACCTTCTCCGGCGGCCAGTTCTAGCCGTTCCGCCGTCGATCGCCGGAGGAATTGAAGGGGCTCTGTTTTGAAGAAGCTCCAAACTCACTCTCTCTCACTCTCTTTGCTGACGTCATGGCGTGGTGTGTGGTGGCGTACTTTTGATGTTGCCGTTTTTGCGCCTGCAAGGCGGATGCGCCTTCGGCCTATGGGCTTGGGGGGGCGTTTCTACTGCTCCGTAGGCGTACTTCTTGCAGGGATGCTTAATTTGATGTTGAGAATGGCCGCGGCAGTGGTGACGAGCGCAATGGCTGGTCACCCGCCCATGACATATGTTGTAGTACGTACTTATGTGCCATTAATTTGCATCTTTACATGCAATGCTTGAATTAATGTAGCTTTGTCTCAAGATTTGTGTTAAGGATGGTGATGCTGATACGTACTTATGTCATGTATTCGTCCACATTATCACGAGTAAAAATTTTACTTGTAGGTTTACTCGGGAGTATAGTAAAATTTTTATTCATGGTGACGTGGTTGAATCTCAAACATCCATTTTTCGATTAACGGTTATTTCAGGTTTTCACTATATATCTCATTTGCTATACATATTTTTCCCTCTAACGGTGCACTAGCAGTAGGGGGATCGGAGCACCAAGAGGTGGTGAAGTCGTCGTTAGTTCATGATATCGTGGATTCAAATCCTAGTGCCTATAATACTATATGCACGAGCACAATTTGAATATAAGTTTAGTCACGTAAGAGATTTATGGTGAGGCCTGTCGAGGATTGATCCTCTCTAGCGGGTGATCGAGAGACTCCCTTTTGTGAGTTCGGCCGGGGGAAAGGGCGCACTGATCAAGAGCGTATATCCGCCTAGAGTCTTCTGAGACCGCGCATGAGAGCTGGAATTATACAGGTTCGGGCCGCTACGGAGCGTAATACCCTACTCCTGTGCGTGAGATTTAGGGTTGAGTGTTACAAAGGTTCCTCAACTCTAGGGAGAACTCTAACTCTTCTTCCCCTGGGGCTTAGGCTAACTGAGAGTCGTCCCCCCTTTTCAGTGGGTAAGGTCCTCCTTTTATAGTTCAAGGGGATACCACATGCACCGCCTCTATCTACTCCTTCACGGGAGGGGGATCCACGCCGCTTGGATCGGACCACCATTCGTGCCTTCGCCCAGAAGCTAAGCAGCCGTCCGTCCTCGAGTGGGGCCCAGCGCTGTCTCCCGCCTGACACGGGGGATGCCCTTGCCATTCCCCTTTAAATGAATGGAGACTTTTGGCGGTTCATCTCACGTGGAGGGAGCTCCAGACGATGCATTGATGGGACGGGGCGTACCTGCCCCCGCTCCGCCGAACACAGGGCGGAACGTGGGGGCACTGCGCCGTCCGATCGGATGTGACCGGCCACAAACCGGTCACAATCCGGTCATGCCCGATTGACGCGAGTCAATTGGGCAGCACCGCACATCCACCCTCACCGCATTAAATGCGGTGAGGGACGGTTGGGGTGCTGCGCATTGATGGCGGTTCAGCTTCGACCACCGCCCCACTCACTCCTCCCGCCACGTGGCGGTCGGGCGAGGCAGCCCGAGGGACCGAGGGGCGTGACGTGGCACCCCGAGGCCCCCCGGCTGCCTCTATGTCGTCCGAGATGTGGGGGAGGGCCAGGCTGTATGGCCGCGTGGCTGGACGGGAAGGAGACTTCCCCACACTTCGCATACCCCCGGGCCCATATCACCGACAAGGTCATATTTCTTAGAGTCAGTATTAAGGGAAAACATACTTATGGGGTGTAGTGTGATGCGTAGCAATGCGTACATGAATCCATTCTATGCACTGACTTTACTCTAGTTTTATCATCGACTTTCTCTCCCTTTGTAATATACCATTGACTTTGTCAATATTTTCTACAATATACTATTTGGGTGGATACTTTTTAAACAACGCCCAAAATACCATTCAAGACTTAGGCTGTGTTCCTTCCCAATGGTTGGGAACGCTACCCTCACGCACGGAAAACGGAGCAGTTCATTAGCGTGTGATTGATTAAGTATTAGCTAATTTTTTTTAAAAAATAAATCTATATGGTTTTTTAAACAATTTTCATATAGAAACATTTTGCAAAAAACACACCGTTTAACAATTTTGAAAAGCGTGCGCGTGGAAAACGAGGAAGAGAGGTTGGAAACCTTGAAGCTCGAACGCAGCCTTACAAGAGGATACAATTGAATTGATTGATCTATAAGATGTTTTGAAAAAATATGAAAATTTTTACATAGCCTCTTTACATAATATAGAAATGTGTGTACATTTTAAGATTTCATTTTGCATGTATTAATTTTTTTAAAAAATATAATTATGTTTTACATGCTAATGAAATACGACAATGCTAATGTTCTTTTATGTACATCATCATTCACATGCTATATTTTTTTTTCTTCCGGTTATATGTATATGATTACTTTTTCATATGCCACATAAAAATAGTTTTTAAGAAAAACATGAAAGAAAATCTTACACACAAACTAATATATTTTGTAATAAGGCTAAGAACACAAAAAGTTTTACATATATATTTTTAAAACTTCTAGTGGATCAAATAATAGTTAACTCTTGTATGACTTGAAGGATTCTTTTTTCAGCTTTAGAAATTTCATAATAGACGATGAAACTCGGTTTCCCGAGATTCCTGTACTATAGACCCACATTTCAAAACAAGTATAATTCTGGTGCTACTGTAGCACAAAAGTGCACATTAAATGTGAAAAGTTTGAGATATGCAAAACATAAGTGTGCACTACCACATAAAAATTCAACTCAAAATTTTGATATACACACTGAGTCACTGAGTTGTATAAAGAAAAAAACAATCCATTCCGTAAATAATTAATAATGTGTCCTATTATAGCATGATTTTTTTTTCTTCTGTGCATATACAAATAATTCTAAATTATCTTTTTTTTAACCTGGTAGCACACAAGTGGTCATGTTCTGTATTTATTTTTGGCATTTTTAGTGTAATCTTTTCTTGGTTGGTACTATCTCCATCACAAATCAATATAACAGATTTAGCCTATGGACAAAAATATAGTTACATACTTACATGGATGAAATCTCTTACTGTCTCCGTCCAAATTAAATATAACAACATAGTACAAGATTATACACATTCTAATACTACTAATCCGTACATAAAGTTGTCTAGATTTATAGTACTATTTGGATATGTCTTAACTTAGTAATAAGTTGTAATATTTCAGGATAGAGCAAGTATATTTTAGGACAAAGTTAGTACTTTGTAGCCTGATCTAGCGCAACTTATAAAAACTCCCTCCTTCCCAAATTGATCATCATATAAGTTTATGCACCAAGACCAAGGATAATTTAAATCACATCAATCAAAATACCATGCACACATTCTCTCACAATGCATGCATCAATTAAAATATTATGTCAATTACATCTTAGCATGCACACATTCTCCCATGTTACATTAATTGTATTCTGATAAAATCTATATCCATGCAGTTATATGATGATCAATTTAAGAAATTTTGAATTCCATTATATGATGATTAATTTGGGAACAAGGGAGTACTTGGCAAAAGGAAAGCATAAGTAGTGTTAAATATGTAGCACATAAGATATCATGTCCAAAAACTATCCCACTAGCAAATAAACCTATCTATTAGTAACTCGTAGTTTTTTTTTAACACCGGTATATATTTGTCATACAATTTGTCTCTTACTGTATCAATCATTTAATTATCACCATGCATTCTACCCCAAAAATATAAATCCGGATGTCCGGAAGTTATACTAAATATCAGATATCAACTAAATATCAGCATCCTCACTGCAAGTTCATATGCCGACGATTTTCTTGTGCACTGCTCCTTGATCTTCGCTGTCAGATCAACTAGTTTAATGTTCAGACATCCGTGCGAAATGATCTGGTGCATGCAGAGAATCGATCCCACGACGAGGCGAGTCCGATTTGAAAGCTTTAAAAATCAAATTAGATCGGACTGGATCTGAATGTGAATTACATACACGTGGATTCTATGCTTGAATTTCAAGAGATTTAAGATCTGAAATATAATAAAGACTAAATTAAAGCTATATACGGTAGTTCTAGCTCGCTGAATAACACTAGAATACGTAGATACGTGCATGTGTATTCACGCTAATTTCCTCTTTCTCAAGCTGGATAGAAGACGATTAATTTAGGGTTCCTTGGGAATAACACAAGATTCTAAAAACACGGTAACATAGAAACCGAATGATTTAGATAGGGGTCAAAACGCTACAGAAATTTCCGAGATTTCCGGCTACCGTTTCCGGTTTGCACCGACCATTTCACATAGTATCGGCAATTGCCGGTGTCGGAAATAAAAATGGTAATATCTTCCGAAAATAGTAGCGGAAATGAGATGGAGGTGTTTCTGACTGTTTTGTCGGTAATTGTATTTGTCCAGTAATTTTCATCAAAATTCCAAAAAGAAAATCCTAAAGTTCCACAGCGGCACAGCTAACCCAACCCATCGGAGACCCATGAATGAAGGAAGCATGGCAGGTTTGCAGCCTATTAGGAAGGGGAAGTGGCCAGTGAAAAACGATGTTTCCGACATGAATTTTCGACTTCAGATCAATATTAGTAGATTCCGTTCCGACGGTCCCATTTTTGATATACATATATGACGGAGCGTGGGGCTCCTCACCAGGAGACCGCGCAGGCCCCCCTTTGCCGGTTCGGCCGGGGGCCCTGGGTGAGATTCTAAGCTCCTAGTCTGTGTGTGGAAGGTTCGCGAGAATGGAAACACACAAGACACGGGCGATGTATACAGGTTCGGGCCGCTGAGAAGCGTAATACCCTACTCCTGTGTTTTTGTGGATCTATGTATGAAGAAGCTACAAAAGAGCTGGAGAACCAGAGAGCTCTTACTCTCTCCCTCTCTGATCGTTCTGGATCCGAAAATCCATCCCCCTTCTAAGTGGGCAAGGTCCTCCTTTTATACCTCAAGGGGATACCACATGCACCATCTCTCTCTTTTTTGTGGGGACTTATCCTATCTTTTCATAAACAGACGGAGACTTGTATGGTTGCCGTCCGAATGACCTTCTGATGGGACAGCCCATACCTACCTCCACTTCCGCCGGAAGCAGGCGCGAGTGGGAACATGGCTGTCTGCTGACGACATGATCAGTGTCAGACCGGTCACAAATCGGTCATTCTTGTCCACCACGCGTCAGTTTATCAATCTGCATGTTCGCCCCTCTTCATACAATGTCTTGCTTGTAATGGTTAGGATGAAGCCTGGTATATATCTGACCGGGACCAACGTGCCATCTCCAGGAGTTAACACGCCGGCTCCGGCTAGGGACGAGTGCTTGGAGGCTCTCATCCTGACGGGATGGGGCGAGGCGTGCGTCAGACCGCCTGTCGCCACCTAACCCACGATCTGATCGGTCTGTGACTGGTCACAGACCGGATAAACGAGCGCGCTGCACTGCGTTACAT